ATATTTTCTCTCATATTTTTTACTACTATCAAAAAACCCATTTAACAACTCTTACTCAAAATTAACAACTTTACACTGTCATGAAATTGATTGATGTCACTTAATCTATTATCATAGCTGAAGGGAAAGGTTTGATGTAAACAAATTATGTCATTTAACGTATCGCTTAATTTACCCTTATTTTTAAACATAATTACATTATTTTAACTATTTACCTCCCTGCAACTATTCCACATCTTGAATTAACTACTATTTCCCGAACAAAAAACTATCACTTCTCTAAAATACCAAAACAATCAAACTATTTTAACTACTACTTTCCAACAACAAAAAAATAACACTAACCTTTTTTTGATATCTTTTGAATTGCACACATATCGGGTATGGTTCAACCACTGGTATGAATAATGAACTCCATATTAAATGGCACTCAAAAATTTTTTTGCATAGTAAATATCGGAATAAAAATGAGAAACTAATTGATAGTTTGCTTTCTCATTGGGTCTATGGTTGCAACTGACTACATTAATCTTGAACTGGACTGGACTTGACTCAGTTAACAGCCTCTTTGTCTGCAATTGTTAGGGGCCCAAATCCAGTTAATTACTGCCTATTTTCTCTGCTCCTTTATCCTTATGCCTTGACTTTTTTTTTTTTTTAAATTTAATTGATTATTCGTTACTTGAACAGGAAATCCAAAAGATTCTTGACTTTCCACGGATCATTCAGACACGTTGCGGAAGTCTTCAAGTCCCTCTCTACCTCTTGGATTCCCCCTGTGGAATCAACCCCTGCGAAAATTTAGCAGATTTTGTAGGTAGTGCTAGCAGAAGAATTTTCTGATCACGTCAAAGTTTCTGATTTTAAGAAAAGCCCAGATCAATAGAAGCAAAACCCAAGTAGCATGACGATTCTGGAGAAAAAAAGAGTTCATTTTCTGCTCTTCTTGGTTGGCGTCATTGCTCTCAGTATCGGTGGTAATATTTTTACTACCATTATCCACATCTCCAACAAGATACCAGTTTTTCAGTTTTCATTTCAGTTTTTTTTTTTAAATTTAATAGTTACCATGCTGAAAGAAAGGTAAAAAAATTGTCTTGGGATTAAAAGGTGCAGTTGCGAATTTGCTGTTTACCTTGCTAATCAAATGTTTATTGGCCATTAATTTGCACATATACTGATCTTGAATGGAGTGGCCTTTGTGACTAGTAATTGTTGGCCTATTGGCATATTTATGTTCTTTTTTAATCTTTATAGTCATTAAATTCTTGCTTTGGAATTATATTGTCTTTGGAGAAATCATATAGCGTGCATTTAGTTTTGTAAAATGAATGATATTATATGACTGATCTATTTAGTTATGTTGAAACTGATGTAGTATTTAATTTGTGCTTCTAGTAGTAATCTACCACCTGATTTTGTTTTTTTTTGCCTCCTAAGTACGGGGCCTCTGTATTTAGTTAAGTGAAGACTAGACTGTTTGATTAGAATGAGTTACTCCATTTTTATGGTATTTGTGCTTGTGAATATTTCTCACATTTTTAGGTTTCTAGAAATTGGTTGATGTGGTCTTCATGGTGATAAAAATAGTTGATGGGTGGTACCATGTTTAGGTCTGTTGTGCCATGCCTTCGCCCACCCCCTTCTTTTGGGGGTATTTGAGTGTGTGTGTGTTTTTTTTTTTTTTTTTTTTGGGGGGGGGGGGGGTGGTGTTGTGGAATTTAGACAGCCTTAGTGTGTGGTTTGACGAAATAAGTTTACTTGGAGCTTACATTGAAAGCTCAAAATCTGGTAGCAAGTGTAAGTGCTTACACTTGATAAATAGAAGAGTTCATATTTCATATCACTTTTGAGAGTTTCTCTATTGATTACTAAAGATCCTTATATAGATAATGATTTATGATTAGTACATAAGTAGTGTTCATGAAAGTAATAGAAATTGATGTCCATCTTGTATCATGGAACTTTACGGCACAGGAATTCCTGTTATCTTACATGGAACTTCTCAGAAATTATCTGAGAAGCTTTGTATCTAAACTGGAGCTGCTGATTAAATGTCTAAAAAACTAACAGCAGTCTAGAGATATTTACCCATCTTTCTATCCTTTAATGTGGTATATCCCACAATCATGTGTATAAAGTGATTGCACTTTTGCTCGGAGGTTTTTCTTCTCAAGTCACATTTTCTTCTTTTTTGCATCCATTTATCGTATTTTTTGCTTTTCTTTCATGGTTCTTTCTTGTGGGTACTCCTGCAGCTGTCTTTTTGTTGGCATTTGCCGTAACATTCTTCAATAAAAAGGAATAGGAAAACCGTGGCAATTTGAAGATTCTGGACATCAGCATATGAAGAACTATTTAAACTTAAACTTGACACAAGTTTTGGAAACATATTCTTCATGTGAATGCTAGTTAGACATACAAATTTCAATTATGTGCCATCTTTATTTGTGATGACAGACATAGATGCAGGTCTTCCCACTGTCTGTCACTAATACCATCGTAAGAAAAAGCCACCATCAATGATGTCCATTAGTCTTAGCTTCAAATGTTACAGACATACGTGTCACACAAGCAGAGAGACACATAAAGCTGACTTGAGATTCTTATTTTTTGTCGGAGCACTTGTCTTCGAACAAGATTGAATTGAAACTTTAATAAATGCTTGAAACTGTCTTTTTGCATCCATTTATCATATTTTTTGCTTTTGCTCGGTGGTTTTACTTCTCAATTCACATTTTCTGCTTTTTTGCATCCATTTATCAAATTTTTCGCTTTTCTTGCATGGTTCTTTCTTGTGGGTACTCCTCCAGCTGTCTTTTTGTTGGCATTTGAAGATTTTGTATATCAGCATATGAAGAACTATTTAGGCTTAGTTATTTACTCCAAGAAACTTGATGTGAGTTTTGGAAACACATTCTTCATGTGAATGTTAGTTAGACATGCACATTTGAATTATATGCCATCTATATTTGTGATGACAGACATAGGTGCAGGTCTTCCTACTGTCTGTCACTAATACCATCGTAAGAAAAATCCACCATCAGTGATGTCCATTAGTCTTAGTTTCAAACTTTACAGACATACATGCTAGACAAACAGAGACTTAAAGGTAACTTGAGTTTCTTATTTTTTGACAGAGCACTTGTGTTCAAAGAAGATTGAATTGAAACTTTAATAAATGCTTGAAACTGTACATTAACATAAATACATACTTCGGCGTTATTAGCTAGATTATTGAGTCATTTGTTTCTTAAACTCTTGTTTTCCTTTCCAATTCTATTATTTCCAAAAATGTTCTTAATGATGTGCTGTTTTGCAGCTGAAAAATGCCGTGAGCTGGTTGGTCAAGAAGCTGCTTCCAAGAGTGGGGAGTTTACCTTCTTGAATTGTTTTGATGGGAGCACTGGAACCCTTGCATGTTTAGTAAAGGAGGGTGTGAAGCTCTACTCTTACAACGTCAGATCTCTTCATGTTGAAAGAGCAAGGAATCAAGCAATTGAGAGTGCTCTAGGTGACGCACTCGCACAAGGTCTGGTTGCCAAAGACGCAGCCAAGCAAGCCCAGAAAGAGGGAGCTAAAGCTGCAAAACTGGCAACTCGACAAGCAAAGCGCATAATAGGTCCTATAATTTCTTCAGGATGGGATTTTTTTGAAGCGCTTTACTTCGGCGGTACCATGACGGAAGGATTCCTCAGGGGCACTGGAACCTTGTTTGGCACCTATTCAGTTGGCTTTGTTGGAGAGGAGAGGTTCGGGAGGTTTGGCTATCTTGTAGGAAGCCATTTGGGTAGTTGGGTTGGGGGAAGGATTGGGTTGATGGTGTACGATGTTGTCAATGGAGTGCACTACTTGCTTCAGGTGTCTCAGTTCGTGGAAAATAAAATTATTGATCATATTGCCGACGAAGTTTACCAGAGTGCTGCTTTTGGCAGTTCTGAAGCTCCCGAAGAATCACTTGTTTCTGAAACACCAACAGATGAGGACTCTCGAATCAGTTTTGAAGCAGCAGAAGAATCATCAATTTCAGAAACACCAACATATATGAGCTCTGAAGCTACAGAAGACTCCAATGTATACGAGGCTTCTGATCATGAGAACTTGGAATTTCATGAAGATTTATGATGTAGGTTAATGCAAAACCATACAACATATTTGGCCGTCTTGAAGTGGCAATGTTCGTCAGTTGTAGATGCAAGCACATTGTTTTCCATTCTTGTTTGTACAGAAATCAAATTAGTGTAATATGTTCCAGGTTTTAATTTTGGGTAATTTCATATGGAGGATGCCATCCTGCATAGCAAGAAAAACAGAGGAATGATTTGTATTTACCCTGTAGACTGGGTTTAAATAGTATGGATTGCATGTTTTAGTTGTATCTGATAACAGAAAAACATCAATAATATTTGAGATCTAATTATTATGTTAAGTGCTTATGGATTTTAATTAGGTTGTGCAATTAACCTTGACCCTATGTGTCGGAACATGAAGGTGTATGTATGTTTTTGGAATTCTTGTTAGTTCTTTGACGTCTACAAACAAATGGGCAACTAATTGGACCTGTTTGGTGAGCATGGAATGTCTGGTTCCTGGTCTAGGAACATTTACAAATACATGCACTTCTTTAGCTATTGGTTAAAAAAATTTTCTTTATGATGTGGACTTCCAGTACCCTGTTGGATTGGTGCCTGAGATTGCGTTGGGTTTGGATTCTGGCCTTACATTAACCATGATGAACTCTTCCTTGACAGAACTGCAGTTACAAATTCGTTGTGATTGAGGAGGTATTCTCACTAGATCAAGAAACCATAAAAGCATAGCTTGGCTGCTCTGCAGATTTTCTCGATTGCTCCTTGTTGCTACTGACGGTGCCATGTTAAGTGCTCACTCAGAATTTGTGCAGCTAAATTAATATAGAAAAGTTGCCTGTTAGTAACATAAGTCTTGGTTGATTTCTTTTTAACTTGAAGGTGTTTGCTGTTGTTTCAACTTCGAAAAGATTGCCAAGCAAAGAATGACTTGTAAACAAAGGAAAACTGTCATGGACTAAATTAGAAGGTTGCTAAACACTTTCAGATGGAACAACATGATTCAAGCTAAGTTCAATTGGCATAATCTATCTTTTTCATTTTCCCTCATCCCCTCTTTTCTTTCAAGCAGAATGCCAAAGATTGAAAACTTGCTAGTGTATAGATTGAACCTCCCAAAATCACTGCTCTAATTGTGAAATGTCTTTATTCTTGACTGCATCAGTGCCAATCACTGCTGGAAATTGCTTGAACGAAATGAGCAGCACTCAACATGATCCCCTCAACACTAGCGAAGCAAACAAGAAATGCCAACAGAAGAACACTTCCCATGTCAGTGATCCCGAAACACCACCATTGCTACTGTGCAGTGCAGTGAATTTCTTAGAACAAGAATGATGAATGGAAACATATTGGTAGGCAGACACGTTTGAACTGCTGAAAAGAACAGGTATGATCTGAAAAATTTTGCTCATCGGATTTAACAGGGATACCTGTTGTCGTGCTGTGGTGGCCACTCTTCTGTACATCTTTTTAGATGGCCGTGATGAATTTGACTTCACTGAAAGCAACATGCAATAAATGGCGGATGGCCCCCCAATCTAATGCTTTTGAATGGTGTGCCCTGATAACTGCACCATAATTTTCTTGAATTAGACTTGGGCTAATGCCTAATAGTCGAGTTGTGCCTTTCAGCCGCTAGCTAGCTAAGACAAGTTGCTTGCTGACGAGGGGAACCAGGAACCTAATAATTTGGCCTATTTCTGCCTCTTATCAAGCTTTTGTAGGGGCTAAAACGTATACATAGCGAAAATATATTTATTTGACACATATAAAAATATGCAGAAGAAGAAGAGAAGTTTGATAATCGCAGACGCAAGAAAGCAAAGTTTTGCTTCTTTTCCACTGAAAACAACAAGCAATAAAAGGCGGATGGCCACAGTCAAACGCTCTGATTGATGTGCCTGATAATTGTCCATAAAGTTCGACACAATTTCGCCTTCAAACTTTCTTGAATCAGACTTGGGCTAAAGCCTAATAGGCGAGTGGTGCCTTTCAGTCAGTCGCTGTATAGCTCGGCAAGTTCAAGTTGCATGGTGACAAGGGGGACTCATAATTGGGCCTATTTGATATATATATATATATATATATATATGTATATGTATATGTATATGTATATGTATATGTGCGTGTGTGTGTGAAAAAAGAGGAGTTTGATAATCATAAATATAAGTACACTGAGATTATTTTTACAGCAATCAGAACTCTGTAAAAAATTTTCGCCCATTGTTCTCAACTGAATATAATACTAACACACTCCTATGACTTGGTAATTAGAAAACTACTAAGAAATGAAATTATCAAATAACTCTTCTATTTCTTAAACAAGTAAGCTGTTAAAATTGGATTATACTTGAACGTCTAATTTTAAAAGAAGAAACAACAACTATTAGGAAGCTTGGATTAATTATGCTAACAGTTTCATTTCATGGAAAAATGCAAGGAGGAGGATGCAAAGAAGTAATGGCACTAGTGTCCTGGCGACTGCTTATATTTTGTCTTAGATATTTCCTTCCTTACATTTTTCTTACGAAAGTAAGAAGTTCGGCAAATGAACCTAAACCCCCGGGATTACCTTCAAAAGTCGGCAACTTTTGAAGGCTTACAGGAAGACTTATCTACCCAAACCCTTTCTCCCAAGACCGATGTGGGATTGAAACCCCGGCAAGGGCCACCTTTTGTCTTAGATATTTCATTGTTCTGTATTCTGATTAAGTTTTTAACGTAATCATTGTTATGCATCATACGTGGCTTTTGCTTACCAGTTGAGATTTTGGAGAGTTGACTGAAGATTGCGTGTTTATGCTTGTGATGCACAAAAATCTTTGGAGAATCAGAGGATATTAGTAGATGTTGCTTGATTTTTTTTTTTTTTTATTAGGAACGTTTTTGGTCAACTTATTGTTCAATTGGCATTTACTCAAGAATGAATTGTTTGAATTTGAAGGTAATTAAGTGGCTTGCTTGCTAAACCATCATGTCATTCTAATTGTTTCGAATGGTGCATTGGCGGAAGTAAGGTTCAGGAGAAGATGTGCAAAAGTACTCTTGTATATTTTAAAAACTTTGGTAGGCTAAACTTTAGATAGAGTTTAGAATTAGTTTCTCAAACTTAGATCCAACACAAATCAAGACTCTATAAGATATTCATGCCCAAACCAATACTCGTATCAAACCCTACCCAGATTCACATATGTGTATAGATACACACACATATATATTAGTAAATTTACAAAATAATCTAATATTTTATAGTCATTGGATCGAATATAGTAAAGTTTCTTGATTGTTTTCTGTTTTCAAGTTAATCCTAGTTGTTATTGTAATTAATACAAATTTTTTTAGAAAAAGGAGAAAAGTAAAGCAAACAAATAAAAGATTGGATGTGGTTACAATTGAAATTTTAAAAATAAATAGAACTATTCGATAATAGTTTTTTTTTTTGAGTTCATAATAGTTTCTTGAATATTAATTTTATTATTTGAAAATAAAAATTGAATGGTATTTATATTATTGTTGAATTATATATTTTAAATATATTTTTACTTTAGTATTTTAAAAAATATAACGGATATCCATTGGATATCCAGATCAATGAGAATATAGGTCTAGACTTACTTTTTCAGATATATAACAGACTAGTTTTGAGCATAGATCTACCTAAATTTAATGGGTTTGGATCTGAATCAAAGTATCTAACCTAGATCCTACCCATTGACATGTCTAGTGATGGATGTACATGAAAAATCAAGATGATTAAGAGATTTGGGAGAAAAAGTAGAAAAGATGAAAACAAAACAAAAGAAAAAAAGGCACTTAATGGTACCAAACCAAGTGATTTTAAAGCTCTCGAGTAGGTCTTGATTTAGTTGTTAAAATTAACAAATCTAGAATCAGAGATTTTAGATTCAAATTTTTCATTTTTTTCTCTCCACTTCTTAAATCTCTCCAATTCCTGCTTAAAAAAAAAAAGGTGATCTAAAGTTGATACAACGGGTTGATTGTATTGCAACCCTTTCTCATAAACTTGCTGCAAACTATGTGGCTATTGGCGCCATTGATTGAATAAAACTTTGAGAACATCAAGGGACTAGCCTGCAAGAGCTCATATAGGGACAGTAGACAGATGCATGTTCTGATTTGCTTTCAAAAGTTAATACATAGGGACCATTGATTTTGCTCTGTTCTAAGCCGAACAATTCACATAAAGGTTTCTAACTGTCAACTCCTTTTTTTTTTTTGGTGGCTTATAAAGAACATATAGTCATTTTGGTGACTTTGAGGCTTTACCTGAAGACTTCCAGATTTTGTATTTTTGATTATGCAAAAGTTTCCAAACAATTTCTTGGAGAGATTTCTTTGTTGTAATAATTTCAGAACGATCGATGAAGAGACAATTCCAAGTTTTGACCATTGTTTTCGTTGATGGTGTTGGCCAGTATGTGAAAGAAAGTTCCAAAGCATCAATGGCCATCCAACTTGTCCAACTCTCCAACCATTGAAATGAAGCCAAAGTAGACAAAGGTGTTCAAAACTCTTCGTCGAGTAGCCACAAGTGTCACGAAAAAGGGGAACCTTTTTCTGGGATGCAAAGCTATATTGCTTAGCATTTGACCACAAACAGCAAACGCATTTCTGAATTTTGAAGTCTAAATCTTTATGCTAATGTGGATTGGAAGTCTTAAAGACAACTGCCCATAATTTTCTGCTTGGTTAATTTTTGGCAGTTGTATAATTTGTTGGACGTTTTAGACCATTGATTTAGTGAAAGGAGAGGGATAAATTTTTTTTCTTTAAAAAAAAAAAAGAAGTTGTGAGGAAATTGGACTGTTATTGACATCTTTTCATGCACTAAAATGAGTCCAAGAATGGTTTTCATTTCAACTAGAAAATTGATATGATTGAGAGATGTTGTCGTCTAAATTCTTGTGCTTACAAATTTCTTATGACAGCAACTTATTCTTTTTTTTTGTTTTTGTCCTCTTGTCTTGTTTTTTCTTACGAAGCTACTATGACACAAAGAATTTATTATTATTTTTTTTTTCTGTCTTCTTGGGTTTGCTTTCCCCTGCAAGTGCTGTTCCAGCATAATCATAGCTAAATATTAAAAAGAAACACTCAAACCCTAAATATTATCTTAGGCTATATATCAATCATAAATTCGATCAAATCAGTCCGGACAAAAGGTAATGTTTTTTTTTTTAAAATCAAATTCAAAGTTCGAATTCTGTACCTGACAATTGAGAGTGGGGAGGGATGCGGCGAAGAAACGGTTCGGTTCAATCTGGTTTTCAAAATATTCATATGCCCTCATTACCGTTGAAATGACAAAGAAAAAGTAAATGCCCACCATAAGTACTTGAATTTGGAAACTTTGAATACCATAAAGAAAATCTTTCTAGATGCATTGCGGTCCAATTGATAACTAGCACTATCAAAAAGCCAAAGGCGAAGACCTCATCTCTTATTTGCACCGTAGAAGGTGAAAAGGCAAAGAAGAACTCAGAAAAAGCGTCAATGGCATCTAACCAAGCCGAATTTTCTTGGACCGAAAGAAGTAGTTCTCAGTCTCAAGGTTCAACTCACGCTATAAGTTGTCAACACAATAATAGTAAAAGCTCATTTGAGGGTGGGGTGGCCGTTCAACTCTTATAAAGGACAGGATTTGTTTGCTGGCATAATAGAAATATTTTAAAAAGGCAACTAAGAGAGAGTCTATCTCTAAAGAATTCTAACCTTCGTGTGTGCAAATATGGGGCCTTCACCCATAAAAACTTGACATGATGGATCGTGCTTCTTTGTCGTAACTCTGCAAATTGAGGAGTTAATCATAATTGGCATGCACCAATGGGTGGAAAAAGCTGGAAAAAAAAAATTATAAGAAGGAGAAAACCATAACTCTAATGGATGAGATTATTCGTGGTAATGCACATCATGAGATTATTCGTGGTTTTAGCTAGAATCCAACCACTTTTAGTGAAACAAATTTAGAAGGGGCAAAATGAGGCTCTGTGTGAATTACTCATTGCGCAGAAGAAAATTTTTATTCCAACTAGACCAGATATGCTTGTAGTCAGTCGCCTTTGCACGTTACATATATATCACAGGAAATGTCAATCAGACACAAAAAAAAAAAAAAAAAAAAAAAATTCTAAATAGTGTTCTGTCGAAAGGGATGATTATGGACCTTATTGCTGAGTAAAATATGTAGGAATATTTGCAAAACATAAGGTCCTACCTAAGTAACGTATCCTCTCAAGCTCCTCTGAGAATCACCAGTTTTGTAGGGATTCATTCTTAATTTATCAGAAGTTTTTCAAGACATTCTCAAGGAAACTTATTATTAGTTCTTGTAATCATAAGCACAAGGGAAAGTGAAATTAGTTCTTGTAATCATAATCATTAGTTCTTATTATTCCATGTGGTGACAAGCAGCTGCCATTCAATTATTCCGTTGTACCCAGAGATGTCGTCACAATAACGCCAGTACTGCAACGGTTCTGCTTTGGTTTTGTTGAGTTGATCGATGCAGCAGACAGCAAACAGCAATGGCTGCCCTAGATGGAAATAAAATAATGCACTATATATGGACATCATGG